ATAAAATCCAAAAAAACAAAGTGAAATTCATTAAATAAAATAAGAAACAACTTAATATTTTTCATCATATATATAACGTATCCGGTACACTATAAATGTTGATAACTTTCGAAGTTATTCTTTATTATATAAGTCATTGTCTTCTCTATTAAATAATAGACTATAACATTTCTTTAGTGAACACCTTTCGAACGTTTCAAAAGTATTTACTAGAGAATTATATGACTATATTCTACTACAGAAAAGTTCATGTTCAATAAAAATTACTCCATCGGTTCGTGAAATGATCACTACTAAAATGTTTTACTTGTATTTATGAATCTTTATTTATTGATAGTATTAGAATTACACTAAGATTTTAATTCTATCAGTATTAAACAATACCTTTTGATGAAAATAATGGTACTTCACCAATTAAATGTCGACCTTCTGTAATTAATAACCAACGTCTTTCTTCTTCATTATCTTTATCCATAATTGTATATAACCAATCAAAAGTAATTTGCATATATGCAATTCTTTTAGATGATGTTGATATTTGAGATTGTTGTTTTAAATTTGGTACAATATCTCGACAATTAAATGTTGTTATTAATGGTGAAGTTAAAAAAATTTTATTCCAATATTCAATTGATTGTTTTCTACTATCAATTAAATCTAATATTGTTTCACTTGTATATAATTGTTTTAATTGATTTAAAAAATTTAATATATTTATTTCTTGTTTAATTAAATAAAATTCTTCACCAAAATCATTTAAATATTGTGCACAATATATTCGTAAATGATGATAAATAGTTGTTGACATAATTCGTTGTATAATATCTAATGGTGCTAAACCAAGACTAACTAATATTTTTAATGATGTTTTATTATCTCGATCAGCTAAATTTTGTACACATGTATTTAATGCAACACGAAATAAATCTCCAAGAAATAAATTTGTTTCATTTGTTAAAACTAATTGTGGTGAATTATGAAATAAACAATGTAATATAAGATCATCACCTGTTAAACCTGGTTGTGAACGTTTCCATTGATTAAGTTCATTTTGTGTTAATGTTTGTTGTTGTTGAAAACTTTTTAATATTTGACTTAATTGTTTTATTGATGAAGATTGTAATAATGTATAATTATTTATAAAATGTTCATGTAAATAAAATGATAATTGACGTGCTGAAAGAAAAAAATCTACATGTTGATTATGACGTGCTAAATAAATTAAATGATCATTTAAACGATGAAATAACCAACGATATAATATTGATAATTGTGTTTGTTCAATAGAATCAATTAATGATGTTAAACCTTGTTTTGTTAATGGACGTTTTGATGCTAAAGCAGCTTCAAATTGAGACTTAACAAAATCCATTTTAATTTATAGAAATAAACTATTACTTAGAAAAGATATGAAAATAAATGATAATAATATTTAAAAAAAAAAAAGAAAAACGAAGAGACCTAGCTGATTCATGTACTTCTTTTCGAATAGACCAATTACAATTGAGACATTGATAGAAGTCGCACAAATGCATTCTTAAAAAAGAAAGAAATTAAATTACTTAGGGCAAACCAAATGTTCGTAGAACGGTTTTAAAGAATCTTGTCGGATAAGGTAACCTATTCAGAAATGAAAAACAAAATATACCATGTTGTAGAGATTTTTGAGGCGCATCGAATGGTATCCAATAAAGCCTGTTTTCATAAGACTTTGAAGGAACTAGAGTCAATTTACTGATAGATGACTACGCATCCATACTCACATCCTCACCTAAGTATGATAGGTTACTGAATATTGTGGTCCTTGGGATTAGTCGAAAGTATTTGTAAAATATTTTTTCTCACATACGATTTTGCAGAGTTTTTGACGGGCTACAAATCAGTAAATTGACTCTAGTTCCTTCAAAGTCTTATGAAAACAGGATTTATTAGATACCATTCGATGTGCCTCAAAAAGCTCTACAACATGGTATATTTGGTTTTTCATTTCTGAATAGGTTACCTTATCCGACAAGGTTCTTTAAAATCGTTCTACGAATTTTTAGTTTGCCCTAAGTACATTATAATAATGTACGATGAATATCAATCAAAATGTCTTCAAGTATATTTGCAAAGTTTCATTTTTGCTCTTTTTATCATTAAGGAACATTTTAAACTGATATTCGATTGAGATGATGACAAGAATATGACATTAAGACAATTATCTTTCTTTTCTATTCTATTTAATAGAATTTTGCTTTACTATCATTTAGAATATATGATTATACCGATTTTTTATGGTTTATTAACTTATAAAATGAGTAATTCATTTTTTTTATTTCTATATACTTGAATGCTTCGTGAACGATTTTTTTCTGATAAAAACAAATTAGATCTACTATGTCTTTCTTTAAAAATTCTCATTTCTTTCGATGAGATAATTAAACATAATAACGTATATTTCTCATCGATTAAAGATCCTAATCTTGTCATATATAACTTAGATTCGAGTTCGAATATAAAGAATCATGACAAAAGGAGTTACATGGGACATCGTTTACTTAATTATAATTTAAAATTCACATAAAAAGTTTATTTTTGTCTATTTTATAATAAAGTGCTCACATCATTTATAAGGATAATTGAGCTAAAATTAAATCATTGGCTTAAAGTAATTATGTGTTTACGTCTTTTTTTTAAATTTGACTTATATTCGAACTCGAATGATGCATCTACTCACTGTTCTACTTATTTTACAAAAAAAAGTAGAACAAGAGTCTTGAAATATTGATGTTAGTTTGAGAGTAAACTCTTATAAAATAATTTTTTTTAATTATTAACTTTTCCACTTAAATAATAAATAATACGTGTGTGTGTGTGTTTTTCTTTTTGTTATTCATATGTTCACTTTAATATGAAGCGAAATAGAAATAAGAATAAATCGAAGAATGACAATTAAAAAAACAAAAAAAACAAAACAAAAGATGCACGTAGAAATACTTGTTGATAAATATACGTTGAAATAAATGAATAATTAACTTAACAAAAGAAACAAAAAAAAAAGAAAAATTTTTATTCAATAATTATTTCTTGATTCAATTGAGGAGAGAGAAAAAAAAAATAAAAATAAATAAAGATATCTGACTTAATTCCGTTTGTTGCGATCATCGACAAGTATCTACTGTTCATAAATACAAAAGTAAAATGTTTTAAATTTTTAAACTTGTGCAATATCAACAACGCTTGTTGGTCGAGATTCATCAATAAACGGAATATCGTCAAGATTATCATAATAAAATGGTTTTGTTATTGGTTTAATTGGATTTGAAATTATTTGTTGAATAGATGATCCTTGTTTGCCATTTGTTGTTGTCTATATATATAAATAGAGAACGAGTAATTTTTCTTTTATTCTAATTTAATCAATTATTTTAATCTTTTCTTACTGGATTATTTGTTGAGTTTCTAGATGTTTTATTGCCTGATGGTATACTTGACTGTTCCGATAAAAGTTGATCTTTATTTTCATGACCTTTTGATTTACGTCGTCTAAACAAAAAAATAAAAATAACACAAATGTTGCTATGACAATAATTTCCTTGTTTATATTTTTTTAAAATTTTTGATCTCATATCTTAATGATACAACAATTATATCAAGAACCAATTTATTCTATTCAACAACAATCATATATACAAATAAAACAATTCAATGAATTAATATGTAAATCAAATAATTTTAATGAATATTATAAAAATTATTTAGAAAAAAATTTAACTATTGGTTTTGGACAATTAAATGATATTAATTATGAAAAAATAGAATTTTCTAAACCATCACTTGTTATTCTATCACCAACATTAGAAATTAATGAATTACAAATAACAATATTAACAGATAAATTAATATATCTATTAGAAAATATAAAACAATATAGAAAACGATATGCTATTATTCATTCTGATGATAATTCATATATTATTGGTGGTTATATATTTGATTCAATTAATAAATTACGTAAATTACCTGAAAATGATTATAAATATAATCCTAAAACTGATATACTTCAACCAATTATTTCATTACCAAATATGATTGTGAGTTTTGGACTTGCTACGGGTGAATAATTTTTATTAAAAGGATAATTATATTAAAATGAAATTTTTCTAGATGGAAAATATATTGTTGTAATTGGTGGTCATACTCCCTCGTAAATATAATAATAATAAAAAAAAAAAAAAAAACATTAATTTTTAATTTATCTTTTTTTTTTTTTTCCTTAGAAATAAACCATTATCACAATGTTATATAATGGAAATAAAAAAATTACCAGAAACATGGACTTCTTTACCTGATCTTCCATTACCTACAGTAATGTTTTTTTTATTTGTTTTAAAAATTGATTATAAAAAAAAATTAATTTCTATTTAATAATTTTAGTCTGGTCCAGGTGTTGGAATAATCAATGGTGAAATACATGTTATAGGTGGATTTGATATAATATCTAATGAAAGTATTACACATGGTGAATATTATCGTTTACAATGGCCAATTGATAATCAATGGAAAAGAGAAACATCTATTGAACCTATTAGAGCTCGTACATTAGTTATTTTAGTTTCAAATGAAAATGTTTCATTTAAAAGATTTATTTATGTAGCAGGTGGTTATGATGTTAACATACAACGTCGTCCTATAGTCATACCAACTGTTCATATGTGTTTGTATTTGATGAATTTTTTTTTGTTTTTCATCACACACTTAAAATATTATCTTATTTGTTATAGATTCAGAAGATGAAAAGAATTGGAAATTCATAACAACTATACCTAATTTACAATTAATGCATGGTCTTTCATATTATGATGATAAATTACATATATCTCATTCAATATTAAATATAGATAATGAATATAATACTCAAATAATTCGTTCATATGATTTTAAAATAAATCAATGGATTGAATCATCAAATAATTTATAATATGAAATATAATCACAAAAAAAAGAAAAGCCAATGTTTATACATACCGTTTAGGATAAAAACGTATACATACACATATACATATTGTAAGACAAATAAGAAGAGTTATGATAATAATAGCAATAAATAATATTCGCATCAATTCACGACTAATACCAAAAGTATTATCAATTAAATTTAATGTACCATTTATTGTATTATTCGAATGTAAATTAGATTTTTCGTTGAGTATTACATCAGATGATGATATATCATCTCTAACAATATTTAATGGTATATCATCCATATTCATTTGAATATTGAAATCATCAAATAAACACAAGAAAAAAAAGCTATCGATAATACATGATTAATTCGTAAGAGAAGAAGTTGAATATCTATAACGAACAAAAAAAAAAAGAAAGAAAAAAGGTAAATACAAAAGTCAATATATACAGAGAAAAAGAAAGAATGGTGATTGAATTACTAAAATATAAAGAAGACCTTCAAATCACAAATAGATTCATACTAATACAGAATAAGCTGTATTGTCTGATATACTAATAAAAACTTCTAGGTTTTATGTTTAAGTTCTTTTATTTTGAATTTTTTATGACAGTCATATGGAATTATTGTCACATAAATAGTGAAAAACAAAAAATAATGCTCACCTAGCATGATAATAATTTTGTTCTTTCTTTTCAATAGGTTTTTTCTTTGCCGTAAGGGAATAACAATGTTAATGAGCGTAATCTTATCCTTGTTTTTTATTCGTAGAAGTGACAAGAAGAAAAAAAAGATACTTCGAATGTCAATGGAAAGTATATTCAATATACAATTCATTCTTACTAGATGAGCATTAAGAGTAGAAAGGAAAAAAAAACAAGGAATTTTTATAAGATAATCAGAAAAAAAGAAAAAAGAAGTCTTTTCTTCTTTTCGTCTATAATCTGACCGAAGCCTTGTGAATTGATACAATTGACTATGACAGTCAACTTCAAAAAATAATACTTAATCTGATTCTAGAAGCTTTGTTTTTCATTCGTTTTAATAATAAAATTCAGATGTTCATTGTTCAACATATTATTTGATGAAATGATTTTGTTAGATTGATTTATATTTATTGATGAAAAAAAAAAAAAAATTCATAATTTGTTTATTGTCGAAAGACAAGTTACATTATTATATACTTACTTATAGGGTTAAAGCATAGAAAACTCAACTGACATTCGTTTATATAATCGATTGTATAGGGTGTATGTGTTGTTGATGAATTTCTCATCATTCGCATAGGCGAACGCAATTGATGTATTCGATGTAAGCAAAAAAAAAAAGAAATGTGCCACTATTAAGAAAAAACAGACTACGGACGTTTCTTTTCTTTTTCGGTCTTGTCTCGACAATTTTTTTTTCTCGCTCTCTTTTTTCTGTACTAGTGACTATGAATAAAAATGACGGTAACATATTGTGAAGAAACAAAAGACATTAAGAAAGTTTCGATAGAATATTAGTCAATGACATTGATTTACTGAGTGTGACGAGGGTGTTTGATGGCATCATTTGCTTTTTTTTTTTTTCTTTTTATTCAAGGTTAAAGTAAAACATATTTTCTTTAAAAATAAAATAAAAAAATAGAAACGTAATCAATCATTGATATTGTTATATCAGAAAAATATGGTATAAGTTATTAGTTATATCTATGTGTATGTAACGTTACTTCGAAATCTCATTTAAATACATACGTCTTCAATTTAATCATTATAATAGTCATGAATACCCATTGACTTCTATCCTAATAGTATACAATTAGATATAAACAAATGGTTTACTAACTGTTGACAGTTTTGAAATAAAAACAATGGATATTTATATATGTGTGCATGTGTATATCTATAGACATTTTGATTTCATTTATACGATATGAATATATATATATATATTTATATCTATGCATTCTACGTGCTTGTCGTTCTTCCGTTGTTCATATAGATGGGTAAAAGATAATTATAGTGAAGCGAGTGAAAGACATCAACAACACAACAAAGCGAAAAAAAAATCGGAAGAAATTGTCATCCGTTGTGCTCTTTACGCTCTAGTTCCGGTTTCTAGTATCGTCATCATAACTAAATAGACATATATACAACAAGCTATTTCTTTTTTTTATTAAAGTCCTGCTGTTGTTGTTTAGTCTCTAATGGCATATGTATATATAAAATACGCTTATACATCACGTTCATTCGTCATTGATTGATTCGCAAACAGACAATAAGGATAACAAATGCTCATACAATTGAATAAATCGTTTTTTTCTTTTTCTTCTGGTTCTTGATGTTCATCATCGTTATTTATATACGATGTATCTAATTCTTGCTTCGACTAATGGAACTCTAATGTTTATCTAGAGTCAGTTTCTTCTATTAATACTCATTGTTGATCTATTTCTCATTCATTATAGACTTGGTGTCAAACACACACTTACCCCTCATGTCGCAGTTGTGTGATGTTTTTTTTTTTTTTTTAAATATATAAGCAAATCAAAAAAGAGCGAAAAAAGCATTAATATTTCATATATTTGCACAGACACAAACATATTTTTCCTTCTCTGCCTCTTGTGCTCGATCTCTGAAATGATTAGACTCGCTTGAAGAAACAAGACACCAAGAGCTTGACACATCTGACAGGAGCCACGCATGCACACACACGACATAGACTATTGCTGTAGCGAATTCCAATTAGCCATTATAACCATCATGGGAGACACGTCTTCACATTTACAATAATAGTGAGCCCCTAAAAAAAAAAAAAAAAAAAAAAAAAAAAAAAAGGAAAGAACGACAGAGATATAACAGGGAACGACATGAAAAGAAATTAAAATAAAAGCAAAAAAGAAGAAGAGGAAGAAGATGAATAAGAAGAAGTAGAAAGAATGTTCATTCATTTGTGTCTAAAAATTAAAAAAAATTTTTTTTTGACATGATGCGCTTGTTGCTTAGTTACAGTCGATCAAGAAAAGAAGAACGACCTAGTAAAGAATACAATGAAAAAAAAAAGAAAAAAATCTGAACCACAAGCAATGCATGCCACTCTGACTAATGATGAAAGAGTGACAAGCTCACACTCGACACATAGTCACGCGTGTGCTCACTTGTCCGCAAATAATGGACGTTCATGCAAGCAGGGGACAATCCTCAAGAGAAAAAGAGAGAATTTCTTCCGGCTCGTTACATGCACACGCATACACTTATATATACACGTATATAAGTACTAATCATTTTCGGAACATTTTCAAATTGAACAAAACATTCTATGTCAAATCGATTAATACTTCACTTTTTCCATTTTATTATAAAAAAAAAAATACATAAGAAGCTACTTTATTTTATTTCTTACCATGCAATACGCGAGTATTAAATAATCATGCATTACTTTGTAGAAAAAAAGAATTGTCATGAATATAATTATTTTTTTGTTGAATTAAGATATGTAATATATTAAGTAATTGAAGATAATGACGGTAGGCTTAGTAAAACTTGTTTATAAGTAAAGAAACTAATTACCTGTTGGATATACTAGACATTTTCAATTGTTTATAATTACATAGATAAGAAACAAATAATGAGTATAAATCGTTCACAGCTGTTCAAAACTCAACAGATTCATAGATTTAGTAGAAAAGAAAGACAGCTGTGTTTTGTTTGATACTATTATAAATATTTGACTTGTTCATAGGTTGATAAATATCACCTATTAATTTTCCATTCATATCGTATTGAATGGTTGAAATTTGAGAATTCAATCTTTTGTATTTGTTTTTCTCATCATCAAAATTTGAGTTATTTTGATACCTAAAAATTTTTTCTTATTAGTATAGATTGTTCTCTTCTAAATATAAATAAAAACAGACTAATTGCTCATCTCTTATATCAAGTGACTAGATATAATGTATCTTGAATGAAGAGAAATAATATAAAGGTAATGTTCACTACATATCTAAAAACTTAATTAAATATATATTTTATATCATATTTTTAGTAAATGCAATGACACACACTACATAACAAGACAAAACAGTGCAATGAAATAAACACACCGACTGTTCTTTTATTCGTTTTTTTTTTAGTTGTTGATGTTTTATAGTTCTGTATAACTATAATCTCGATTGATTCCTAATGCACGAAAAAATAATGGACATGTAAAAGATATATTAAATCCAATAGCAAAATAAGTTAAATAATAATATGGCATTTCAACTTTTGCTAAACGTTTTGATTCAGAATTTTTCCAATCAAGTCCATAAATTGAACATGTTACACGTAAAACAATTGTTTTAACAATTTGTCGTGTAGCATAAATAAATATCATACCAAGTATTGTACGTACAATAGATAAACCTAAATTTGGTGGTATTATTGTATAAAGTGGTGGTGTTAATGGTTTTTCTAAAAGACCAATTTGATGCATTGCTGTTGTTGCTGAACATAAACCAAATGCACTACCTAATATAACTGTTGTATCTGATCGAGCTGTTGACCATTGTTTTAAACTAGGATAACATTTAATTAAAAGTATTCCGAGACAAAAATTAAGTATTGGTGCAAATGAATTATTTAATTGAAAATTATCAATATTATCCACATATGGAAACATTATATAAATTAATAATAAAGCATACAATGTACCAGCAATGATATCCTATTGCAAAAAAAAAAGTAAAGTTATTATAAAATCATGCCATATAAATTATGATACTTTACAAATACTTCAAAAAAAATCGAACTCATATAAATAGAAAAAGTCAATGTGTAATATACATATCTGAATAATTAAAGATTTTTTTTATAGATAAAATGTTTTTTAAAGTAATATAATAATTTTATGATAATACTAGATTATTAATCATATCGAGTAACTTTATCTTAAATATAATAGTTGAAAGTAGATAAGAGATTTTATAAAAATATCGCATAATTCAAAGTGTCACAAAAAGAACATTATTAATGAGTATCTTAAAATAAATGAACTCTATCAATATTTTATTAATATATTCATTAATTCGATGTGAATTTTTTATCTAAGAATTTTCTCATTCAATTTTCTTGACATGTATATTAAAAAAAACAAATCTAACAGTTAAATATTTTGAGTTTGAAGACTGTCTGATATGCATATAACATAATTCATAAAATTATTTTGTTATTTTTGCTTTTTCTTAGCTCTTGAATATATAAGATACAAACAAACTTAATCATCCATTGACAAACTCTTGAAAAGCTTCTTCTCAATAATAAATCAAATTTCATCTATAGACTTTGA